CTTTTTTCTGGGCGCCCCACTCCCCCCCCCCCCCCCCCCAAAAGGAAGGGGAAGGCAGAGAACCACACGCACACCGTCACAGAGAGGCCAGGAAGGGTCCCCCCGATCCGTTCCTGCATCCCCAGCAGGCATCCCCGTCCCAGGGCCAGCTAAGGGAGCAGACCCTCAGCCTCACCTTGGCTCAAGCTGCTTTTTCACCCCCACCCCAACCTCCTCAGTTCCAGGGCAGGGTAAAACACATGCCAGCAGGAGACAATCAAGCATTACAGCAGGGAAAAGAAAAACTCTCAGATTTCCAGAGAAGCGGATGTTATTTCCGGCAGGAGAGCCCAGTTCCATCAGTTTTGCCTCATCGCTCATTTTTCCCCCCCAAGCCTCTTCTCGCTGCAGCTGCTCCCCCGGCCTCCTCCCACCGCAGGGAGGTAGCACTCAAGACCCAACACATCACAGTAGCCCAGGCCTCACCCACGCCAGGGAGGGCAGCGTAATTACCGGCCGGGCCTCCTCACAACGCTCCTCTCGCTCGGCCCACCGCAGCAGTGGCCGCTTTTGCAACAGCCCCAGTGTTGACTCACAGCATTTGCATCAGGCCACAGCCGCAGAGCTCACGCTCTGCCCCACGCTGCAGCTCCACGCTACCAGCTGCCTCCCCACCTCCCTCAGGAGCCAGCCAGGTCCCGAGCACGTCCCACCTCTCCCAAACTTTGGGTGGCAGCAACACCACTAAACTAGTCCATCACACGGGTCTCAGGTGGGAACACAGCAGCACAGCCAACATCAGACACCACCTCAGAAAAAGGACTGTCCCCAGGCATTTCCTCCCCCAACAGCACCCCAGAAGGCAGGGAGCCCCTGCCCACCCCCCAACAGCACCCCAGAAGGCAGGGAGCCCCTGCCCACCCCCCAGCAGTACCTTTGCCTTAGGGCACCTCTCCCCTCCTGCTGCTGCTCTCCAGCTCCAACCTCCCCCCCAAGCTGGGCTCGCTCTAATTTATACAGGCACAGACCCCTTCCTCGCCCAGCTGCTCATTGCTCCAGCTGAACTCGTCACTGGTTCCCCAGTGCAAAGAGCCCCCCCAGCCCAGGCTGCCAGCACCGCCGCGGCGTCAGGACCGTTTTGAGCCGAACGCCAGTTCCCTTCTCGTTGCGGGAGCGCTTTGGTTCGGAGAACTGCTGCCGGGTCCCGTAGCTGCGGCAGGGGGAGGAGGGAGAGCCGTGAGACCCCCTCCGCCCCTGTTTGCAGTCGGTCACCCGTCCCCGCCCACACCCGTCACCCC